TTCAATAAATATTTCATTGACTATGTCAGGTGTATTCATTGCCTCTATCATATTTAATGGTGTGCGCTTTCATTGAATATTTCATTAGGAATATTGGATGCTTTCAATAAATATTTCATTCCCTAGGTCAGGTGTATTCATTGCCTCTTTCATTAGGAATTTCAACTATTTTCATTCCCCTTTCATTAATTAATGGTGTGTGCTTTCATTGAATATTTCATTAGGAATATTGGATGCTTTCATTGTACTTTTCATAATTAATGTTGTGTGATTTCAATAAATATTTCATTCCCTAGGTCAGGTGTATTCATTGCCTCTTTCATTAGGAATTTCAACCATTTTCATTCCCCTTTCATTAATTAATGGTGTGTGCTTTCATTGAATATTTCATTAGGAATATTGGATGCTTTCATTGTACTTTTCATAATTAATGTTGTGTGATTTCAATAAATATTTCATTCCCTAGGTCAGGTGTATTCATTGCCTCTTTCATTAGGAATTTCAACCATTTTCATTCCCCTTTCATTAATTAATGGTGTGTGCTTTCATTGAATATTTCATTAGGAATATTGGATGCTTTCATTGTACTTTTCATAATTAATGTTGTGTGATTTCAATAAATATTTCATTCCCTAGGTCAGGTGTATTCATTGCCTCTTTCATTAGGAATTTCAACCATTTTCATTCCCCTTTCATTAATTAATGCTGTGCGCTTTCATTGTGCATTTCAATAAATATTTCATTGGCTAGGTTATATGTATCCATTGCTTCTTGTGCACTTTCATTGAATATTCCACAGCTTTCAATGGGATTTTTCATTGAGTATCTCTCAATATTTCATTCCAATTTCATATCTACCCCCAGGGCTATCATTATGATTTTTCATTATATTCCATGATAGCAATAAAATAGCTATTATGGTCCGCATTGGGAGGGTGGTCACATGACCAATTTCCAAAAATGGGAAAAAAACAAAAATTGTAGCTCTTCACCATAGCTTTCTGAATCAGTTGGAATTATGTTCT